CCAGGGTTCCAACACTATCCTAGCAGTGACTTCCTCATTTCCAAAATTCCCTGGTAGCTCATTATTCCTGTCTCAACACCCAGGGAGAAGAGGCAGAAGCTGCTGTGATATCACATCTTGCAGGAGAAGACCCCTGTACATGGGATCAGCTGTGTGAAATAATTTCCTGCTGTTCCTGCTCTCTGCCCTCTCCTGAGCACAGCATTCACTCACTGGGTTTTATATAGCAGCAGAGTTAGTAAAACACCAAGAAAAATCTCTTTAAAATGCTTTTTAGTACATCATCTCACCAGAGCTGAGTGCTGAGGAGAATATTGTGTATATTTGATTATATATAGGGGTCAAGCAATGGAACAGACTGCCCAGGGAACTGCTGGATTCATTGTCCAGGGAAGTGTTCAAAAACAGGAATGTGGTTTAGTGTGGACCTGGCAGTGCTGGGTTAATGGTTGGACTTGATGTTCTTAGAGACCTTTTTAAACCTCAAGGACTCTGAGCTGGTTTTATGGTCAGAGGTGAAGATCAGGTTTTTAGATCTGGTTTTTAGATTCCCACTCCAGGATGAGTTTAATACCATCCATAAATCACATATTTCTCTCCATTTGCAATCAAAATATTGCAGAGTGGCTCTGCCAGATGGGAATGTCATCCAACAGGATTGAATTCCACCTCAGCAGAGCACCAACACAACAACTGATGCCATTCCCAAAGCAGAAGCAGCAGCTTTGATTCTCTCTGAGTCACTTTGTACACAACCATCAACAAACAGGGAAAGCAGTGATGGTCTTAAATAAAGGGAGGGGAAGATTGCCTCCTGTTTTATAGGATTTGCTGCAAAATTAATGCCATTAAATGTTAGAAGCAGCTCTTCCTTTGTAGCAGTGAGTGTCATTGAGCAGCTTTCAAGGAACTCAATCATCTGGGTAATGTTTGTGTTGTACTCTTTGATCCCTTTGCAGGAACAGGGAAGCTTTTATCAAGTTGTGAGCCAGAGAAAATCTTTTTAATGTGTTTATAGCAGGAAAAGAGTGAAATACCAGGGAACAAAGAGTTAATGTGATTTTCCTGCCTCATGGAGAATAAGCTGTTCAAATGACTAATATCCCATCTCATGGTTAATAAAGGATAAAATGTCTTGTGGCGTTTTAAAACCTTAAACTGTCCTGATGTCATTTGACATTAATTTTTTATGGCATTCACAGATCCAGAAAATTTTCATTATTTCATGACGTTCATTGGCGCCATGTGAGGGAGATGGATGAAAATATTTTTGGCACCTTTCATTATTAAAGTGCATTGCTTTCCACCCCTTGACCAGAGTGTTCCAGCTCTCTTTCCACACGTGGAAGATGACATTTGTAACAGGGATTTATGTCCCACAGTTTCTCCAAAAGCAAATTGTCCACCATGCACAAATTAAATTAGCACTGACAGGTTTTAAGCTTCAGCTCTGAGATTAATTGACCTGAGGGGATGGGGATGGGCACAACTAAGCACTGGAATCCCCCTCAGAGAGGTGAGATCCATCTGAGTTTTGGGCTTGCCAAACTCCTTTTTCCCTTGGGTGTTTTAAATTTATTTCCCCTCTCCTTTCCCCTCCTTTGTGAACACTTTTTATTCTGCATTGCTTCTGAAACTGGAGCAAAAACTGAATAAAATGAGGATAGGGATGAGCAGATAAGAAGAAGACAACACTACCTCTCTAAAGAAGCCCAAAATGAACCATACCTATAATTTATTTGCTACAAATGGTCATTAAAATACCCAAGAAGTTGAGTGTGGGTTTTGTGGTGTTCACTGAGAACCCCCAACCTGCTCAGGTTCCCTGCTGTCCACATGGGCCTTCATATCAGAAAGGCAAAATTATCTGGAGAAAAGGAGGATCAGAGAGGGCATCACCATCCCTGGAAATGTTCAAAAACGTGTGGATGTGGCACTTGGGGACATGGTTTGATGGATGTGTAGGGTTAATGATTGGACTTGGTCTTTTAGAGGGCTTTTCCAACCGAAACCATTCTGTCATTCCATGATTTATTTGCACCTGAGGTGTCACAATACTTGTGCCCCGCTCCTCTGAAGGATTGGTACTCCACCTCTACCCAAAAATGTGCATTTTTTTTTCCTGAATGTTTCCAGGAATTCTATAATTGCAGGATCAAAAGATCTAATGAGAATTTTGTCCTAAAATCTGACAGCTCTGTTTTTAGGATGAGAAAACAGTTTACAAAAGGTGCCTGATCACCTAATCAAGGGGAATATTGTTATGATTAAGAAAGGGGGAATTGTCTGTATTAAGGATCAGGATCTTCACTCTTAAAAGTAAAATGTGCAGGAAGGGGAAAGGAAAATAAGGGAAAATTGAGTTTTGCCACAAAAACAGGGTGCAGGAAGTTTCAGGGCACTGGACATGTGGCAGCAATATCTGCAGGCCAAGTGATGTGAAAATGAACAAAGGGAGAAAATTAAGTTGGTCTTGTTTGATGGGCTGACCCAATGCCACAGGTTCTACTATGACATGAGGCTATTAAATACAACAATATTAAATAACATGAAACAGTGGGCAAATTGCACTGAAGGAATGATATTGTGAGACCACAACTGAGACAGAGGAAGCAAATTGGGAAATTATCCTGTCACAACTTTCCCCATAAGTTTTTCCCAGGCCTAAGCACTTCAGGATCCAGCTAAGTGAAAGCTGTCTGCAAGTTTCAAGTGTTTCCCAGGAACAGTGGGGCAGATCAATAATAAAAATGAAAGCAGAGATGTGCCAGTGGGCTCAGCAGTGTCTCAGGAATGGTAAATAATAGAAATGTTACTGCTTTAATAGTTTCTGCTTGAAAAAATCGATTTATGTCCGTGTAATATGGTGCTAGAGAAGGAGGACTGATTGCTGGGCAATCAGTCACCACCCTCCCCTCTGCTTTAGAAGTGGTTACAGAAAAGGGCAAGAAAGCAAGAGGGGGGCAAAACCCAACACCCCTGAGCCATGATTGACCTCAGATCTCTTTGTCTGAATTCAAACTCCCATTAAAAGCCAATAAGAGGGTTTTTTCCAAGAAGATCAAAGAGGTAAAACTTCGCCTGTAACATGAACTTTCAGACGTGTCTCAGAGTTTGAAGGGTGTGTTTGAAACAGATGAGAGGCAGAAAGAAAGTAAGTAGGAGAAAAAAAATTGAGAGCAAGACAACAGCTCTATGCATTTATTCAGTTCATCTATTCTGTGTTTTTTACTCCTACCCAGATCAAACACCTCTGATAAAGAAAATGTTCTGGTTTTATCTCTGCTCCACAAACTCCTCCCTCCTCTTCTGCTGTGTCATGAATAAATCATGGCAGGAAATTCCTCTCAGTGACAGCAATGAGGTCTCGTGGGAGGTTGGAGCTGGGTTTTAGGGTCCCTTCCAACTCAAATCATTCATTGCTGATTTCATGATTCCGAATTCTGAGACAAGATTTGCTTGTGCAGCCTCCATCCTTGAAGAATTCCAAGAATATCCATATCTGGCCATGCTTAAATTTTAGGTGACCACACCTGAGCAGGGGTTTGGGGCCAGATGATCTCCAGAGGTCCCTTCCAACCTCAGCCATTCTGGGATGCCGTGAAAGCAGGAACTGAGCTCTTGCAGGGTATTATGAGGTCATTATTAAAATAAATGAGAGTTCGTTGTGACTTTTTCAATTTTTTTTAATGGAAAACCTCACCTCATTGCTTTTAGGAACAGTCATGCAACTTTGACATTGATAAAATTAAATACAAACCCCACAAAAAAACCCAGATTAATTCATGGCTTTAACTAATACCATGAGAATGAGGGGACTCTGCTCTCACCAGGGACTTTCCTCTTCTTTTTCCAAAGCACAGAGGAGAGCCTGGGGCACAAACTTCAGGCACTGGGATGCTTCCCATCTCTCAGTGAATCTCCTCAACTCTGCATTGCTAAATACATGTAATTATAAACCCCTGCTCTCCTTTCTCATTAAATATCCAGGAGTACAGTTTGAAAATTTTAACTCCAGTCTGATAGGAAATGGGAATATTTGGGAAATCTAGTGGGTTTTGAAAGGCTGGAGATAAATTCCAAGTGCAGAAAGTTTGTGTTTTCTGATACTGTCATTTTCAATGTACTCCAGATTTCAATGTACTCCATTGGTGCTCATTTTAGGGAGAGCTTGTGTTACAGAAATTACTGAGAAACAGCTCTGAAAAATGGCAAATACAGCTTCTGGTTCGTAGAAAAATTTGCTTTTCCATTGACAAATAATTAGACTTTATTACCAAAGTCTGGAAAAAACAAGAGCCAGGGAGACCACAAAAAATGTCTAATTTTCATCAGGGATCTGCAGCAGAGCTGGGATTTGACATTGGAACATAAAAATCTGTGTGATACTTCAGTCTACACCTAAAAACCTCAGAGGAAAGCTAAGCTTGTGGGGCACTTTCCCAAATTTTATGCTCATTTTCAGTATAGAAAGTGATATTTTAAATAGTAGTAATTAGAAATTATATTTGGTCTGAGGAGAGATATCATCCATTACTTCAAGGCAAATTGTGGTATGATAAAATCTTGGTTTTCTAGCCTTGTGCTTTTTGTACCTCTCAGACGTCAGGTGAACATGAGGGGTTTTGGAAAGGTGTCTTGTATCACAACACGTGTGTGTGGATTTCCACATCTAAAAGTTACATGAGCTGCAAAGGGTGGCAGAAAAACTTCTCTGGGAAATGAGTTTCCCTAAAATCAGAGTAATTTTTATAATTATTATTTTAATCCCACTGATGCTTTGTCATTGATTTTCCTTCTACCTTGGTTTCCACATCTGCTAAAGCATTGGGACAATTTTTGAAAGTATTGACAGAGGTGAGAGTTTTTAAATAATCATAAAATTGTGAGGAAGTGCAGTTGAAAAGAAACAGGAGAAAAATAAGCTGAAAGAGGCACACCTTTGCTCACTGCGAATAAGAAACAAAGATTGAAAACCACCGTGAAATCTTAAGCCATCCCCAAACAGGGTTTTGAGCAGGAAATGGGAAGCAGGGAAGTTCAGATAATGGGATCCATTGTAACAAAGAAGAAATAACAGAAATTGCATAACTCAGAAAAGCTGAAAGCACCCAACAGTCGTGTCCTTGATTTGTTTGCACAAGATCCTTTATGATCCTGATATGAACCCTGGTGGAAGGAACTGCAAACAGTGGCCATGCAGGGAAAGCCTGGGCCAGCAGCCCATGGAAAAATTAGGAAAAGCACCTTTGAGAGCCCTCCCTGTGAGATTCACAGACTCTGAACCTGAGAGAAGCAGAGAAAAGAATGATTTTCAAAAAAACCCAAATCTTATCTCATTTACTGCTCCTGTGTTTTGGAACACGTTGAATGTGTTGGAAGATTGTTTACCTGAAGGAATTTGCTTGATTGGATTCTGTTGTGAGTGTTTTGTTTTCTTGACCAATCTCTGCAAACTGTGTTCTGATGGTTGGTCAGGAGATTTGGTTGAGTTGGGTGCTTGTGCAGTTTTAGTTTAGATGTAGTGTAATATAGTACAGAATAATAATATAATAAAGTAATTAATTAGCCTCCTGATATCAACAGAATCCTCCTTGTCATTTTTCCCTGCATTGTAGGCCCTGCTTTTACAATGCCTCCCAGATTCAGATCTGCTGCAAAGACAGATTAGAGGAGCAAGTTTAATGTCAAAATCCATCTGTGACAGGGGTTGGAGAAGTGACTCCAGGCAGGGGTTTGTTCTCAGTGCAGAACAGGCCCGTGGCTGGGAGGATGCTCAGATGACTCAAGTGTCAGAAACTGCTGGAGGTGATACTCAAATATTTTTGTGACTCATAGCTGCATAATTGATTTGGTCCCATTTGCAGGAGTTTTCTTACTCTTGTGTGCTAAGAGCTCAATTGTTGGAAATGTTTGCAAAGCTCTTTGAGCTTCACTGGTGTCATTTTTCACCCTAAGAAGCAAAGTTTTATTTCTCTTTGTTCATTCTGGTGTGTTGACCATTTTTCCAGTTTTGTGAGGTGAATGGCACCAGTGGAATGCTCCAATAATGGGATTTTAGTGAGGTGGGCAGGGTGGGCACTGGTGGTCAGGGGAGGTGCTGGGGGAATTTACAATGTGCTGTTGGGTGCATTTCTGTGTTATTATTTTTTGACAAACCCATATCTTGGCCTTTTAGCCCACAAACCTCTTAGGGTAAGGCTTGTCCTGAGTGCTCTCTCCTCCTTTGGCTGGATTAAGCTGCTGTGGGTTTGAGGTCCAGCTGGGACAGGCAGCAGAAATGTTTTACAAAGTGAAAAGTGCTTTTTGCTCTTACAATCCTGGATGGATCAGGCAGCTCTGAGTACCAAAGAGCCACGTGAACTTCAGTTTTGACAGTTTGGCTGAGGGAGTGAGATGTTCTTGTGTTAATTAAAGCTCTTTTTAGCTGGTCAGAGGCCCCAGGCACTCAGCGAGCTTGACAGTCCAGGAAATCTTCCTGCCCTGGAGTGTGCAAGTTGAAACAGGCAATACAGGTTGTCAGTGTGTGGATTTTCTCCCTTCACAGCCAAATTTTGAAGTGTTTTGCTCACAAACCAGAGCGCAGTACATTTCTCAGGAATCACATTTGCTCAGGGCTCAGTTGTAGGCAGGGTCTGGGTGTGGAGGCCTGGATTTGGTTCCCAGACCCCCAGCCTTATCTGCATGGTGTGAAATGAGCCCTTTATCTATCCCTGTCCTGGCTTCTCACAGGCACAGTGAAAGGCATAAATACTTCACTGCTCTGTTTAGATAAAAAATTTTCCAGGAACAAAGTCAATGTGACAATAAAACATTCAAACAATACTGGTGCAGTGCCAGGAACCAAAGGTCTGGGTACAACTGGCAGCATGGTACCACTTGAAGGGATGTTTTGTGTGCACCTCTGTATTAAAATGTACTTTTCTACTGAGGTCTGGACTTTAAACAGAATAGATGACTCTCATTTATGAGCTCTGTGTAATATGAAAAATTAATAACAGGGGAAAAGCATGAGAGTTTTTCTCTAAGTGTTACAAGAATTGTGTTTTGGCATTTATACCTCAAGAGGCAGGAGTTGTTTTAACAGTGAGCTGAAGGTTTCTTTTTAAATAATTTTTTTTTTCTTTTCTTTCAGGGAATGTGACCAGGAATTGTACAAGCCAGGGCTGGTCAGATGTGTACCCTGCACCCTACACTGTAGCTTGTGGATATGATTCCAACAGCACTCCAGGGGAAGAGGTTTGTAAACCTGGGTGGGTGGACATGAAGATTTAACAGGGATCAATATCCAAATTGTATGATCTTCCCATGCCCAACTTTTCCCATTCCCCCTCTGATTCCTCAAGAGGGAAGGATCCTCTTGAGGGTCCTTGGAAGCAGAGTTCAAATGTTTGGTCAAGGAAATTCTCTTCCCTTTAATGTCATAGACTCATGGAATTATGGAATGTCTTGGGGTGGTGGTTCCAGTTGTGGGTTTCTCTGGGTCTGGGCTGAAGGCACTTGAGACAGCAGTTCATATTCACACTCAGTTGTTTATTATTTCTTATCAGTGAAAAAATCTCACTGCTGGGAGTTCAGCAGCTTTTCATTAGAAGGCACAAAATGGCCAACAATCTCTTGTTCTAATGTCTTTTAAGACTAAACTATCCAATGAAGAACTGACACCTGGATTATTTTCCCTTTTTAACCCAATAACTGATCCCACAGAGCTGCAATGGGCACTTTTCTGCCCAATCACAAAATGCCACCCAAACCCATGGAGAAGGAGGAAGAAGAAGCATGAAGAAGAAACCCAGGATGACACCCTGTGCCCTCCATCTTGCTGCCATCCACAACACACTAAAAACACCAAATCCTCAATTTCTCACCCGGTGACACACCTACAGTGCTCTCTATAATCTATTGCACACTTTTGTGGGTTCCAGTCTATCTTGAAGTCTGGGAAACTTTCTCCAAGGATGAGGCTCAGAGTCAGTGCTGCCCTGGGGGTCAGGGCACCCCAGAGCAGACACAGAAATATTCCCAGTGCCCTGGGTTTGCACAGCTTGGGATGGAGAGGAACTTCAGGATCATCCCATCCACCCACTGCCACGGGCAGGGACACCTTCCACTAGACCAGGCTGTTCCAAACATGGCCTTGAACACTTCCCGGGATGTAGCATCCAAAATTTCCAGGATGTCAGGACCTGAGAAGATCAGATCATTGTCCATATGATGCCCACACATAACTGTAGGCGTTTATTTTCCACAGTGTGCTTTGAAACGAGCCCTCCACATTTATATTTATGCTTAAGTAGATATGGTGGTTCCAATCTTTCTATGGCAACATAATCATCAAAAACTCTAAAAGGATAAAATTTATCTTTTGCTGCTCTGCACATCTTAAACAGCTAAATATCCACATCACTGTAGAGAACACATATTTTCAAAATTTTACTAAAATTTGATAGAAAATCCAGAAGTTCTCTGGGATATTATTTGTGTATAAATTAGCAATCACTGACCTGGGTATAATTAGCTTTGCAGAGTATTGTCACTCCACAGAAAGGAGTTTGTTACTGGTTTGCTGCATGCTGAGACATGAAGGGTAAAGTCTAAAGAGGATAACAAATGGTAGAAGCAAGATTCACCTCACCTAACTCAAAGTTCAGCATCTAATCTAAACTAATCACCTGAAGCAGTCCCACAGTCAACAAGAAAAAGCTTATGCATGGAAAGTTATACTTCACTGCAATCACATGTTGCAGTATTTATGTTTTTATATAATAGGTTAATGTGTTTATATTAAAACTCTGCTCGTGCTTTTTTGTTGTTGCTGTTTGAAACATACCTCAGTGTTAGTGAATGTTGGACATAGGAATCTCAATAATTAATTAATATGTGTTCCCAGTATTTAAAGGGGCTTACAAAAAGGCTGGAGAGGGATTTTTCACAAGAGCATGGAGTGATGGGACAAGGAGGAATGGTGTTAAGCTGAAGGAGGGCAGGTTTAGATGAGAAACTGGGGAGAAGTTCTTCACTGAGAGGATGGTGAGGCCTCAGCACAGGGTGCCCAAAGAAGCTGTGGCTGTCCCATCCTGGGAAGTGCCCAAGGCCAGGTTGGAAAGGGCTTAGAGCAGCCTGGGATAGTGGAAGGTGTCCCTGCCCATGGAAGGGGGGGAATGAGTTGATTTTTAAGGTCACTTCCAACCCAAACCATTCTGGGAGTCTGTGACTCAATATGGTGAGAGGTCTCTGTGCACTGTCACACATTGCCAAGGCACTCCAAGAGTTAACAAGGAATCTGAGCCAGCTCTGAGTGGGAAAAAAAAACCAGTAAAGAGCAAAGGCAGAGGTGCACAAAGAACTTGAGGGCTGTGCTGAAGAGAGCCTTAGTCTGCCTGCAGGGTCAGCCAGCATTTCACATCCTCAAGTGTCCTTCCCTCAGGCTGAGCTGTGTGCCTGCAGAAACCACAGCTCCAGCTCTGCTGTGCAAGGACCCCCACCCAGAGCTCTGCTTGGTGTCCTGTAGGAACCCAGGACATTCCTCTGGCTGCCCTGGAGGGCTCGAGCCCCTGCCCAGGGGGACTCAGAGACCCTGGCACAGAGCCCAAGACTCCCCTGTGCCTTTGATTTAGCCCTTGGAAAAAACAATTACCAACCTTATATGAAGAATTACAAGCCACAACAGTTTAAGTAGAATTATAGTGAATTTATCATGGGGTGAAAAATAGATTTTTGGGATTTTTAGAATGGGGGTTCAAGGGGCAAGATGGAGGAATTGGGGTGTGACCTGCCTTTCTCCTTGTTCTTCTTCTTCCTCTTGGTCTCCATCTTCTGCTGTGATGGTGGCACTTTGGGATTGGTTTGTGTGACCATGTTCACAAGGGTCTCAGGTTGAGGGAAGAGACAAGGATTTGACTCCATGTTTCACAAGGCTGATTTATTATTTTATGATATATATTACATTAAAGCTATTCTAAAAGAATAGAAGAAAGGATTTCATCAGAAAGCTGGCTAAGAATAGAATAGGAAAGAATCATAACAAAGGTTTGTGGCTCGGACTCTCTGAGCCAGCTGGACTGTGATTGGCCATTAATTAGAAACAT